ACTATTGTTCGATATCCGCGTTGGGCAAAGATCCACGGCCTATCCTCGTCCCTCCTCCAATTTAATCTGACCTTGGTTAAGTGTTATAATTTTTGCTATCATAATTTAAGACTATCACAAAAGAGCGAATTATAGTTGATAATGTATTATTATATCATAATATTATAAGTTAAATAATTAAACTTGATAGGTACTAAATTGTATACGGAAAAATGAGAGAGAAAGAGCTGGACCCCGGGGAACCTCTTTGTGATATAAAATATTATGGCGATAAAAGACATTAAAAAATATGAGTTTGTATATATTTAAAAAGTATATTCTGCGAGCCAGTGGTTTAGATACCTCAACTGTCTACTACAAAAGAACGGAGAATTTATAAATGGAAACACGTGAAACGATGTTTCGCGAAAATGAAAAAGTACAAAAGGAAATCTTTAACGTAACCGTAGCGACGAAAAATGTCATCGATATATATATCTCGAAAGGTAGGCTAGGCGCACAAACGTATTTCGACGGAGCTCAAAGGATTAAGAACGATCGGTATAGGAAACGCCAGGAAACTTCCTGCCTCCGCGAACCTGAGGAGGGTCAAAATACCGCGAACGAAGAAAAATCTTATATATAGAACGAAATAATATTAAGAATTCGTACCCGTGAGGACCGCGAGGTGTGTTTCTGGAAGACGAAATACTTTTAGTCGAGGCCAGAGCCTGAATTGGAAGGAGACGTGGGGGAACGGAGTACCACTTCTTAGTTGTTTCCTACAATCATTATGAAACTTAAATATTCGGTTACTTACAATTTTTTGTACACTAGCTGCCCCCTTATATATATTTTTCCCAGCAGATTATATGTGAACGGAACCTATATATATGTATTATGATTAAAAGATAAATAAATATTACCACGCTAACTATGCATATAGTTGTTCCGAATTGATATAATATTAAAGTGGATTAGTGGAAAAGGTGTTGTATGTGGACGTTTCACTCCAGTGTTATTTTTTTAAAAGGGTCAAAGGCATTCGACAAAAATTAAATACCAATTTGAAGTATTTCACAGGTGGTCTTCTCGTCTTTACGGTTATCGCGTGATCATGAAATTTTATAGAAATTTCGTTCAAGCGTGTTTTCGCAGATTGGCTATAATAATATAATATTAATGCTTTATAGTTTATACGATAGTGCGATTTTGGAGCCAATTTACACTTATTATAAAATTAAGAGTGGGCACCAAGTGCCTTAGATAAAGTTATATTATATTAATTTTATAATATTCATTGAGTATTTATTTCACAGTTATTTGAAGAACAAAAATGAATTTTTTCTTCATTAAACAGCTGTTACCTTTTTTGTTAAATTCGTTTAGAACGGTTGTGCCATAAGAGTTTGTTTGCTTTACATTGCATTTTTGCTCAACAATTCTGGCAAAGTTCGTTTCATTTACTTCCCGGGTCGTTCTGAGTTCTGACTCTTAACTACTGATGCATATCGGAATAAAGTTCATGTGGATTGTGGAATGACTTTTGACTGCCCAATCCAGATTTATAAACTCCACGCATGTCGCAGACCATTAATAACTCAATAATATAGAGAAAAAAAAATTGTTTTGTGATGTTATTGTTATTTCCAAATTTGCCTAAGTGTCTAATACTCTTTATTACGAAGTGTTTGTAAAACGTTTTATTATATTTTGTACAATTTGTGTGGTTATAATATTTTAAGTTTTACTTTTCTGGAACAACACTTTTCCGAGTATTTTCACTTATGAAAATCGAATTTCGTACGCCGATGGCTGTTGTAGTAGACAGGCTGTGTGGCACATGGTACACGGCCATGGGTATATACCCCACAAAATGTCGGTCCACTACTCCACCCATCGAAATATTAAATGCTTTTAACTTAACTACAAGTTCAAATTTTTTACCATATTCGTATAAACTGGCTTATATCATAATATTTTGTTGCGTGTAGGTAGACGTTTGTGTTATATATCACGAGGCACACTGTTGTTTCCACACGGAAACTTGTTATTCGATCGAACCCTTTGACTTTCAGCCGATAACTAAAACAACGTCTCGAACTTTGGGCGGATTCGGGAAAACGCCCGTAACTTTGCTATTACCGCCGGCAAAATTCCAGAATGAACATCGAAAACCGTTTAAGACCGTTTAAAATAAACATTACATAATATATTATACATTTCTTTGATGTGTTTTTATTTTCCACTGTTTTCGATTTCATAGTTTATCCGTACTACAGACTGATACTATAACGTGTGTGTAAAGACGTCTTCGGAGTCTTTTCTTATGTTACAAAAGACGTGGTTTTTATTCAACAATATTCAAAATTATTCGATATAAAAACATCAAAAACGTATGTTGACCTTAGATTTAAGGAGGCTGCACCTATGCTGATTTATGAAAATAGAAATAAGCTATAAAGTTTAGAATAGATATATAGCTTTTCATATTACATAAGTATGGTTAAAGAAGATGGTTCAAAATTGTTCAATGTCGTTCAATAAAGTATAAAACTTACAATTGATAACGATGAAAAAATTGTAAAAATATGCATTTTTCAAAAATGTTGTTTCACAATGATTTCACTTTAAAAAATAATCTAAAAAAAATTCTTCCTAGAACGTTAATACTTTTTCGAGATAATGAATGTTTACATTTAAAAGAATCTTAGTGCAGTATTATACGCCCTTTAATATTATACGATGTTAAACTATATTTATTATAATTATTGTTGTTTAAGCTAGATATTATAAATAACGGTCAATGATAACGGGGTACTCATTGATTTAATTAAATATATAAATCAATTTGTAAGGAAAGTTGCATGCACGCAGGTCATAGGTCATAGGTCATAGGTCTACGTAATAATAAATTAATAGTTATTATAGGTTTATGTATTTTTCTAGAATATTTGCATTATGCATGACGTATGATAAAATTTATTGGATTATGGGGACATATATTTTATGGAAGGAATAACTAGGCGGATATGTGTATAAGATGATAAGCACAGTATCATCCTCTTAGAATCCTCACTTGGGTATAGATCAAGTAAATTACTTGGGTCCGCGCAAGAACAAGATAATTCCAATTTTATCAATTGTTCAGGACGAGCAAAATAAATTCTGTTATCTCATTCGGTGGAAGACATAAGCGCCAAAATAAGATAAGAAAAAAAAAAGTCGTATCGTACAAAAGCGCCAAAATCGTATCGTTCATAAGCGCCAAAATGGGATAAGAAAAATAAGTCGTATCGTACAAAAGCGCCAAAATCCTAGGTACCTGTGAGCCACGGGTAGAAATTAAATAACAGATATTAAATTTAGAACTATATCGCTCAAAAACTCCAAACGCTTAATCTTAATCGACAAATGTATTAATTTGTATTATTAAAATTACAAAGCGAAACATATTTATTTATGAACTCTCCTCCTAACAATAAATTAAGGATATCTCACGATGAAATAATTGTACAATGGAAGAAATACCAGGATGGTGAAATAAATCGTATGGAATATGTGAAAAAAGTGGGATTAAAAAATCAACCAATTTATTAAATGTATTAAATATTGATGTGCATGTATATTATAATTTATTATCGACATTTTATTTTTATAAAAAATTAACCAATTTATTAAATTTATTAAATATTTATGGGCATGTACCTACCTATATTATAATTTACTATCAACAAAATAATTTTAATATAATATAATTTTTATAAGATATAGAAATTTTTAAATAACTACCTAGGTACTTAATACTTATATAAATTATTAATTTTGGCGCATATGATATGTAATTTTTGCACCTTTAGCGCTTATGTCATATGTTGGGTATAGCAGGTATACAATATTAGATTGGCGCTTATATCCTACTGATTTTGGCGCAAATGATAGGTCATTTTTGTACCTTTGGCGCTTATGTCATACAGCCATCTCATTTACCACTAATTAAAATAATTCATTTTGTAATTTCTTTGGGAATAATAAATCGATTTTTCTGATTTTGATACCAAAATATAGATATTTCTTCCATGAAATTTATTTCATGAATAACGGATTTTTGATAAAAATGGAGTTATCTTGTTCTTTCACGAACCCCTTCAGTCAGGGTTCTAAAATTCCCAACGTATTTCTATATAGACAACGCCTGGTATGATCGACTGAAAAGTGATTTTCTACCACAAAATCGACGTGTTTGGGTGTTAATCGTAATTTCGGGTGAAATGTATTAGCAATACTGTATTGTAATCTGTGCCTTTTATATATAATCACAGGCGTCTGATGAAGTGAGTGATTTGCGACATATTATGGAAGGTAATGAAGGTACCAATCGAGGTGTGGCGATGATGTTTGGTGTATTTCACAGCTCTAACATTTATTATTCTAATACTTTGCGATATTCAAACGCACTTTCGTTATATGCCCAAATTTGTATTAACAGGTTAACCGCTATGTGTACCATTTTTGGTACATGGTTGATTAGCCATTCTTGCTAATCCAAAAAGTAGCGAACATGCCTTATTTGCTACGGACCTAAAACTTTATGAAAAAGTTTGATATTTTTATTTTAGTTTATTATGTGATTAAATAATGTGTTTTTATATCGAAATTAATGATTTTCAATCGTGTACCAAATATGGTACACGTAGCCCCCTGGGAAAGTCAGAACTAAATATAATTCGATAATTAATTATAATTTCGTTACTAAGGTAATATCCTTGAATAGTATCTGTCAATAACACTATTTTTGACCACTCGTTGAGTGCGTTTTCATAACTGATAATGATTTTGTATTATAAATTGTAAAATACGATTGTTGGGAAAAAGTATATTTTTAGACTTGTATACAAATAATACCTATTGAATTGTTATCTTGTTATACATTTTTCTGTTCCTTGATAGTTGTTAGTTATCGTATACGCGCGTACGTGGTCGTTAGTGTTTTATAATATTGCGTGTGTAATAAAAACAAAATGAATCGTAATGAAATTTCTAGTTTATTAGATTTATCTTCAGAAAGTTCGTTTGACGATACTGACGAAGATCCCAACTGGAATGATGAAGATGTGTACAGTAGTTCCGAGGATGAGTCTTCTGCTTCTCCTGTGATGCGTGGAGATGGTAATGATTGGAATAATGTTATAGACGAACAACCAAATTCTAATGTAATTTATAATCCAAATAATGAATGTGTTGGGATAAATGAGGATATTGTTGAAACAATGATTGACTGTAGCCCTTATGATTTTTTTGCATTATTTTTTGATGACGAAGTTTTAAAACTTATAGTACTCGAGACTAATCGGTATGCAAATGATAAAAGAAATTCATGCAATCTATCTCGTAATGCTCGAATAAAAAAGTGGAAAGAAACCGATGTAAAAGAAATTAAAACTTTTTTCGGTTTAGTTATATGGATGGGATTGGATAAAATGCCTACCATAGGCCATTATTGGAGAAATACAACGTTATTTTCGAGCAACATTCCTCAATATATGTCGAAAAACCGTTTTGAATTACTACTAAGTGTATTACATTTTTCTGATAATAATACAGCTACATCTTATAACCGTTTGTATAAAATTCAACCACTTATTGATTTGCTTGTCTATAAATTTAATGCAGCACTTATACCTAATGATTCAATGTGTATTGATGAGTCAATGGTTCCGTTTTCGGGACGACTGTTATTTAGACAATACAATGCATCTAAAAGACATCGCTGTGGTATAAAAATTTTTAAATTGTGCACTACTGATTTTTATACTTCAAAATATAAAATTTATAGTGGAAAAGAAGCTTCCGACAATACTTCAGTTGCTACTAAAGTGGTGTTTGAACTATTATCGGACTACTTAGATTTTGGACGAACTTTATTTGCCGATAATTGGTACAACAGTATAGACCTTGCTGAAAAATTATTGGATAGAAATACTCATTTGGTGGGAACTTTACGAAAAAACAGAAAACGGATTCCAAAAGAAATAGTGACAACAAAATTGAAAAGAGGTGAAATGATAGCTAAACAGAATGGCCTTGGTGTAACAGTTCTAAAATGGAAAGATAGAAGAGATGTTCTCATGATTTCAACTAAACATGGTAATTCAATAAACGAAGTTCAAATGAAACGTGGAAAAAAAATAAAACCTAATGTGATTATTGATTATAACCGTGGCAAAGGATTGATTGATGTAAGTGATCAGATAGGTGCTTACCACAACTGTTTGCGTAAAGGAGTAAAATGGTATCGTAAAGTAGCCTTTGACATAATATGTAATACAGCAGTAGTAAATGCATTTAGTCTTTACAAAGCAGTCACCAATAACAACAAATCTATTACACAATTTAGAGAAGACATTGCTCTCGACATGGTTAAAAAAAAAGAGGTCAACTTGCAACAAACATCTACAATTATACCACACCATACTTTAGTCAAAGATAAAAAAAGGGCAAGATGCTATGGATGTTACAGGCAATGTTGCCGTGAAGAAGGTAAAACATTAAATTATTTTATTATTATTATTGATATTATTTATTTATTTATTTTTTATTAAACATTAAATTATTATTTGATTTTATTTTGTTATAGGCACGATCAATGCAAGAAAAAAAGCAAAACGTGTACACACAAAATGTGAAGTATGTGAAAGATATTATTGTCTACAATGCTTTTCAACGAACCATAATATTAAAGTAAAATAATCATTAGTTATATTTCTAATCATAATGTATATTATAAAATGTAATATAATTAAATTATAATTATAATATTATTAGAATACATACATTATTTAAAATTAAAATTGTTTTTTTTATTTTTTTTACCTTAAAAAATGAATTCATAAGATATCTATGGGCTGGTCGAAAATTTGTTTGTCTGGTGGGCTACGAAATATTTTCCTGTGTTAAAATCGTATTTACGTGTACTATAATAGGTACACTTAACACTTTTTGGCAAAGACTCCCGTGTACCACTACTGGCACACAAAAACTTATTGGAAAAACAACAAGTGTACCAAAAATGGTACACGTGGCGCTTTTGGCAATGTACTGAAAAATGACGTAGCAGTTAACCGCACTTTCGTTATATGCCCAAATTTGTATTAAGATTCTTGATAACATTACTGTGATTCAAATGAATAGTATAAAATTAAGTAACCCTTTTGTCCCATCACAACATATTAAATATTAATAGTTCTCAAATTATTATTTGGACCCTCTTATCATTGAATTTAAGTTTAACATCGTCCATTACAGCGACTTACTCAATTACGAGGTACAATAATTGATTCCTACTGTACTTTTCACATATTTATTTTTATGTAAGTATAGAATTTTAGCAATGACCCAAAAAGTGTGTACTGTTATTAATATACAACTATAATATTTGGTGGGAAAATCACACTGCAGTTCACTGATGCGTATTATACAACAATAATTCTCAACTGGTTGGTCGCGACTGCCTCGCAGAGGTCGCCAATTATTTAGGTATATATAGTGTCACCAACAATTGACAATAGGTAATACATGTATATAAAATAAATGTGTGCTAAACAATCCAATATGTATCTTATTATGTCGTCACTTTAAAAGGGCTGTCAACACTGTTATAGAATAACGCACTGAACCAAACGGTTGATATTCTTTATATAATCGAGTAGAAGTCAAATGATAATGATTTGTCACTCGTGGGTTGACGTTTTCACTTTAGATACTTACAGGAGGAACGTTTCTCGTTGCGAATATAAAATCGATAGCAGTTTTAAGATTTTTGTTACCATAGACCCGGGTTGCATATTATCATAATATTATTATTACGGTGGTTTTGAGATTCGTTCTGGAAAACTCAACTTACACGGTGGAATTCATCGTATTCGTTTTACTCTTTTGACTACAAATTGCTCAATGTCTTCTTCGATTTACTTTCGAAAAAACAAATCAACATCAAAGATATGATATGTTAATGTTATCCATACCACCGTACCTATAGGAAATCTAAAAGTTTTATAACTGTAATATGTTACATTTTGTTATTGTCAAAACAACATGTTATTGTATTGTGTCGATTTTCATTATAATTAAATAACTATTTTGTTCTTAAATGGAAACTTGCTGAAGCATAAAATATTACAAACATTATTTATGAATTAAAAAAAAAACTTTGAACAATTCAGTCAACCCGTGGGTGAATCTCGTAGTTGTCCAAAACATGTGGCCAATATTATTATCAAATTTATTCAATTCAGTTATACGAGTTATGGTATAACATTAAAATTAAAATTTTATCGTCCGAAATTTTAAAATCTAAACCAGTTATATTAAAATAATATTATGCAGTATACCTACTGCGTTTAAACGATATTCTAATGATACTGCGCACAGGTACGTGGCAACTTCGTCTAACTGAATGTATAGAGTCTGGAAAGTTTGTTGCTAATAAGTTATAGGTAATATTATTATAATATGAATTCACGTTCGCACAATATCTCGTATTTTTCAAGAGCTCGTTGAATAATTATTGCGATGTCCAGGGGATTCAGTGGAGACTGGAGTTATTATATCGTTTGATGTTCGTCTCTTCTCTGTTCGTTTAAAAACTTTTAGAAGTATTAGCATTGTGGTAGGTGGTTAGCTTATTCAAGCGGACTATGGAGACTGAATTGAAGCTTTTATTCGAAATAGCATAATAAATATTAATATTATAATTTATAAATATTGAATGCAACTTACAAGTTGCATTTATTATCGCCCACGTTCGAGCAGTAATATTATTAAATACTGAACCTACGACATATAATACATACGTCATAGGTTATATGTGTAGGTGATACCTATCAAAATACATTGAACCGATTTTATTGACAAAGTATTATATTATGTTTTATGTTTTTTTAGATAGTTATGGATTTATATTTTCAATGGCATAACAAACATTCCGTACAAATAGAATTTATTCATAGAAACTATTATTCCGGTCTGTAATCATCAGTCACCGCAGTCATCACAATTCACAAATAGTTAATTTTTTTAAATTATGCGATCTTTAAATTTTTATTTCTGCTTTTATACCTTTTAATATTATGATCTAAAATTATGCTGGTCCAATGGACTAGAGCTAGGTACATATAGCCATATATAGGTATAGATATACTCCGTATGTACTCGCTTAAATTATTCCTCAGGTTAAATAGATTTTATTGTTGGTATTTTCTGATTATTTTGGAATAATATTTTTTATTTTCCACAAAATAGTACGTTCCTTTTCTTCGCACGTTAGGTTAGGTTAGGTTTGGGCACTAAAAGGGAGGGGGTACATTGCCTTTGTGGATCGTAGTCCTCCTCGGCTTTCTCTTGTATCCGTATCGTTTATTGTGAATAAACTGCTTCCGATTGCCGTGATAACTACGCTGATTTTGACTAGTTCCTTGGACACAATAAAAATAAGGCTCTTCCCCACTTTGTTTCGAATTCTGCGCATATTTTAAACCCCATACTTTTGTCTTACTTAAATCGATATAAAAGTATCTATGTTATTAGCACTTTATTGTATACAATTTTCACATCTACTAAAATGTAATATTTTTACACAACGGACACAAGACATAGGCGTTGAAACACTTTGATAAAATTGAAAATATATGATAATTTATATGGGTAAATGCGCACTCCTCGCCACAAAACGACGGGGTTCATGCTAACGTTTGCTCTTCGAACACGGCGTTATAAATAAAGATAATAATAATAATAATAATAATAATAATAGCTACGCGTAGTCTGGTGTATTATATGGTTCTGGGTCAATCGACTGACAACCATTCGACCGGCAGGACAATCGACCGACGACCAAAATACCGACCATAATATTATAAGTACCTACATAGTAATTTAATTTCACTTATATTAAAAAGATTTTTATAAATATTGTATAGTAATAATATTTAATAATAATAAAAATCTTCTTTAAATCGGGAACTTATGTCATATATAAGTATATTGCTGAAAGTTTTGAAAATTGGCACATGTCTCATTTATATAAAATAAATAAGACAACAAATAAATCAGGTTAAACCAAAATTATCGGATATTAGAACGTTATAGAAATAAGTTGGTCATAAAATGGATAAGCCATCCAGATACGTTTAATGTTTTTATCTAATCGAAACATTTTATCGCACAACAACGAAATCTCAATTGACACGGTACATTTTTCCGACTGTACAAATTTAGTTGAGCCGTAGAAGGTAACGCGGTCTCTGTGCGTATTTTATTTAAAATAGGTAAAATGGAGGAATATTGTAAAATTGTCCTCTCACAACAAGGCCGAGAAAAATTAGTTGTCAAAGGGTATTTAATGGTTAAAGATAAAAATAGAGAAGATCTCTTTTATTGGTATTGTGAAAAAAAAGTTCTATATAAATGCAAAGGACGTTCGTCCATAATTCTAATTGATGGAAGACATAAGTTAAGGACTGACAATGATCATAATCATGCTCCAGAAACTAGTCGAGCTGAAGTTTCTATTGCAAATTCTATATTAAAAGGTACCTAAATAATAAATGTAATTATTTTTATTTATATTATTTTTAGTAATATAAGTTTAACTTAATAATTTTTAGATACAGCCCGTTTTACAACAAATAAGCCGTCACAAATTATTCAATCTATGCAATCCAACGTTCCAGAGAATATAAAACCGTATCTTCCCAGTTATGAGGCACAACGAAAGAAAATAAAACGTACACGTATTACTCACCACCATACAGAACCAAATTCAATTGATGTGCTCAATATACCTGATGATCTGAAAAAAACACTATCTAATCAACCATTTCTCATTAAAGAATCAATAATAGGTGTGTTAATTATTTTTATAATAATTATGCAATCTAAATTTAGTTTTATTTTCTATTGATTTTAGGTGAAGATAAGATACTTGTATTTTCTACTGTAAGCAACATTCAAAAACTCAGTCAATCAATGTTTTGGATAGTTGATGGTACTTTTAAAACAGTGCCTACTATTTTTACACAACTATATACAATTCACGCACAAGTTGGCTACGGTGACAATTCTAGAGTTTTGCCTCTAGTATATGTTCTTATGACAAGCAAAAGAGAGCAATGTTACAGTCAGATGTATCAGGTAGATAATTACGAAAATACAACATTTTATTTACTAATGTGCTTCCTTTTTTCAAATAGCAATATTATATTTTAATAGTTTTTATTTTTTTTTAGGATATAATTGATTTTGCTGAAGACAATAGTATTAACTTAGCACCTGAATACATAATAAGTGACTTTGAGATGGCTGCAATCAACGCGAGCAAACATGAGTTTCCGTTGTCCAAAAGTAAAGGTTGTTTATTTCATTTATGCCAAAGTGCGTGGCGAAAGTTACAAGGCTTTGGGCTATCCATTGAGTATGGAAATGATGAAAATTTCAGCATCAAAGTTCGGCAAATGTTGTCTCTTGCATTTTTGCCCGAAGAGGAAATTCCTGATGCATTCAAGGAGATTAAAGAAATTATGCCTAACAATGCAAGTACTTTTGTACAGTGGTTTGAAGACAATTATGCATTAGGTAAAATCCGTCGTATAGTGCGCAACACCGAACATAGGAACCCTCCACTTTTTCCTCCAACATTGTGGTCAATTTATGAAAACATTGGTACCTATATAATACTGTATTTAATAATTTTC